CATTCAATCAAACAGTTGGAGATACTAACTCTGAAGTCTGCTTCTAGCTCCATGTGGCATCTCCAATGTGTGATTCTGCCATAAGACTTTAACGAATGAAATTTTTCAGTTGTAAAGTACTCTGCTCTTTTGGTCCACAATACCCACTGGTATCTCATCATAAGACAAATCCTCCTAGAGCAAAAGGGGCTCGTGGGCCAGGATGTGAGAGGGGTCTGAGTTGTACTTCCGTAGCATGAACACATTAAACACATTATGAACTCTAGATAGCTCTGGAGGCAGTATCAATCTGTAGGCGGCGGTGTCAATTCTATTTAAGATTTTAAGTGGCCCAATAAACTAGGAATTTAGTTTTTTCCTCTTGCAAAACCTATTGATTCCTTTGAAAGGAGTGACCTTAAGGAATACCCAATTACCTTTCTCAAATTTTAAATTCCTCCTCCGGGTATTCGCATAACTCTTCTGCCTACTCTGAGCCGTTTGAATGTTCTTCCTAATATTAAATATTTTGGTTGTAGTCTCATCTACAAGATCTAGACCGAATAATTTTCTATCACCCACTTCTTCCCAATAGATTGGCGATCTGTATGGACGACTATACAACACATCGTACGGAGTCATGCCAATACTTGCTTGGTAGCTGTTATTGTAGGTGAACTCTATTAGGGGTAAATGATCATTCCAATGGCCCCCGAAGTCAAGAACACAAGCTCGGAGCATATCCTCCAGTGTGCGGATCGTCCTTTCTGATTGTCCATCGGTCTGAGGGTGGAATGCAGTACTAAGTGATAGTTTCGTTTCCATGGCTTGCTGAAAACTAAACTAAAATCAAGAAGTGAACCTGGGGTCCCTGTCGAACACTACTGTCACTGATACTCTATGTAACCTAATTATCTCCCAGATATATATTATTGCTAACTTATCCAAATGGTCGGTCATCCTGATGGCTAAGAAGTAGGAAGACTTGGTGAGCCGGTCAATAATTACGCAAATGACATTATGTCTTGAGCGTGCCCTATGCAATTTTGTCATGAAATCCATTATTATATGTTCCTACTTCCACTCTGGAATTGATAATGGCTGAAGTAGCCCGTCGGGGCATTGATGCTCTACTTTGATTTGTTGACATACCAAACATTTAGAAATAAAATCAACCACATCTTTTTTCATTCCGTTCCACCAAAATCGAGGTCGCATACTTTGATACATTTTAGTGCTTTCGGGATGCATGACGAATTTTGAGAATTGAGCATCTGTCATGATGTCCTTTTTCAACTCACTGTCACCTGGAACACACACCCTGTCCTGAAATCTAAGCAACCCATTGACAGATACTTGAAATGCTGAATTAACTCCCTATTCTGCATCTTTCTTGAGGGCTGCTAGGGTGGAGTCAACGGACTGAGCTTCCTTTATTCTCTGGATTAACTCGGGTTGAACAGTC